AATTTTACTCCCAAAATTTTCACCTTTACTTCTATTTGTTGGACCTCTGACTTTTCAGGAATTCCAGCATGTGAAACTCATGGTCCAATTCGTTGCATGAAAACATTTTTGCATTGCTAAAAAGCTTAGTTCAGATTTGAATCATGCTCCTCAAATTCTCGCATTAATATTTAGCTTGTATGTCTATTATACGAACGTTTTTCAAGAATGATGGGAGAAAAGAAACGTTACAAAATTGAACTTTCAGCAGATTTTCAAAGATTTGAATGAGATTATTGATTTCAATTTTTTGTGTGTTCAGTTGTTATGTAAGGGATTTATGGCACACGCGGTGAATGTATTCATGAAATCAAATTATCCCAAGCTGAATTTCAATTCAGTGTTATTTTCGATCAACTATTTCTATCTGGAATTTCATGTGAATTGACGGGGATTTATTTTGGGATGATATGTCTGTTGGGGACCAGGTCCACGCCCCAATAAATACAAAAAATATAACCAAAATTAATTCAACAAAGGTATCAAAACAGTGGAAAAAACCACACAAGTAGAAAAAATCGCCAGATTTATTTGTTAAAGTTTTCCTGCTTCGGGTAGTAGTAGTAGTCAACACATTTCCAGGCTCAAACCACGTGTGGAAGTACGTTCTACAAACGACTGTCCACAAAACTTCAGATTTTTAAAGGATTAACGAACATGAAACTGTAAAGATAACACAGGGGACAATTTTATGTGTTTGAAATATATTTTTACTTTAGTGTTTGGAATCTCCTTGAAGATTACCCGCCCTTGTCCCCGGCGGATTCCATGTTTCATTTTTGTAGCAAATCTTTTCTTGATCCACACATTTCTTCTCCTTTTTTGTTGAACAATTTTTTTTTTGAATCGTCAACAACGTCCTCGATGTGGATCAAATTGCTGTCTTTTTATAATTCCACACGTATTTCTGTGAAGGCCATCTCTATATTGATATCGTTTCTTCGGAAAACAAGGGTAAAAGAATTATATGACATTTCAAGTTTCTTCGAACATCCAGCACTATAGTTTATTGAAAAAAAAGAAAAAAAATTAAAGAATACAAGGCAGATTTTGAATCTAGAGAACTACAACAGTGAAATCTCATCCATGCGACTCTATATTTCAAGAATCCTCATCAATCTGAATAACCTCACATCTAAAAATCTGCCTTAAAAAGGAGGGTATCCACACAAAAAAATTTTCCCGTATGAAATTTAAAATTGCATAAAAATATTCCTCTTTCGCTGCCAGTTGGAATACATTTTCTGCCAATCTATACAAGGCTTCATGTCATTCCTCTTTTTGGAATTTCCGCAACGTTCCTCAACTGAACCGTGTGCATCCGCTTTTACTCCTTCACATGCCTCGGGAATTTAAGCCACGGAATAGCTATTTATTTCCATTTCCGCATGGTTAGTGCAAAAAAAAAAAAAAAAAAACTCAGAGGAAGAATACGTTCCTCAACTGAACCGTGTGCATCCGCTTTTACTCCTTCACATGCCTCGGGAATTTAAGCCACGGAATAGCTATTTATTTCCATTTCCGCATGGTTAGTGCAAAAAAAAAAAAAAAAAAAAACTCAGAGGAAGAAAACGGCTGCACATTTTCCAGGAAAGCGAACGGGCACAAGGTGGTGGGTGCTGTACCCTTTGTTCCAGCTGGCTCTGAATAATTGCCAATTCCCGCCTGGGGTGAAGAAAAAAAAATGGAAGAAAAGCGCAGGAGCCGTTTTTCCCTTGGGTTTCGTCTTCTTTATTTTAGGAGGCCTTTTCGCTTTGTCCAGGTGCTCTGTTGATTGCAGCTGTTGCTTTTGGTGGAAACGACTGTGTATAGTGAGGTTGAATGGCTGTACAGTGCTTGCAGTGATGGGTTATTTATTTTTCATCAGTGTTTGAGGGGGACGAGGGGGTTCATTGTGGAATCCCGGTAAACACAGCGTGAGCAGCGGTTTTGTGATTCGCAGCATTACCTATTCAAGAAATTTGCCTGATTACTGATGATATGAAAAGCAGTGCTGGGTCCCTGATATGCTGAGAGACAAACAGTACTTACTTTTAGTATCACGAGAACTCCAGTGAGACACGCACTGTGATTTTTCGACATGAAAATTTGAAAAAACCTATTCCCACGTAAAATCGCCGCCCCACTTTTTGTTGGCTTAAAATTCATGTTTTTGTTTTACTAAATACCTGTATACAGTATATAAATTTATATTGTTTTATATAAATATTGTGTTACTAATAAGTTGAACCTTGATAACTTGAACATGCCTAATTTTAAGGCATCCCTATCTCAAATACTGTCAACCCCTGGACAACAGACCTCACACAACACAACAGATTTTTGCAAAACAGACTGCCTCTGGAGGATCGATGTTTTTCCTCTCGTAGAAGAGACAAATCCGCATAACAGACTTCAGTCCGTAGAAGTTTACACCATCAGTGGATGTGAGTCCCTCAGGTCCCCCCTTGCTTCTTAACTTAATTTGAATATCAAATGTCATATTACAGTATTTTTGCCATGAATGTGTGTGTTGTGTTTTTCAGTCATTCTGGTTGTAGTCTTGCTTGTTTTGCAAGTGTAAACTTATAGGAAAATTGAATTTACATAACAGACTTTTCAAATAACAGACTAGTCTGTTGCACAAATCATGAAATCAAGTCCATTTTGCAGAGGTCAACCGTATTTTTTTGTCCATGTCTGGATTCTCTGGATTCCTTAGTAAAAATGCATTCGAAACCTTTCTCACTTGAAGGCTTTCACCCTAAACCTCCTCAACTTGAGTATTCTGGAGGTCTATTCATTAATATTTTATAGACAAAGGGAAAAGAAAACCAAAATGCAACTCAATATCTTTAGGAAAAATTGGCAAGCTAAAAAAGAAATTGAACGTTTTCCTTTCAAGTTCAGCAATTCTTTGATAGATTCAAAGTTCAAAATACAAATATTTATTGCACCGAATATCACCAATTTATAATTTCATTTACTTCTTCTTACTCAAAAATGTTCGCTGGTTCCTTGAAGTTCGACTTGAAGTTATCTGACTCTAAATTGTGACATGGGAATCTAGTAATAAAACAAAATCGCAAAAAGAATTGAATGGCGAAAAATCAATCTCAAAACTCCGCCAATGAAGTGATACCAAATAAAACTGGGGAGTAAAAAAAACAATATTGGCGTGCAAATTGTTGATAACAAGAACTGCACTGAAACGGAGTTTCTCTGGTGATTCAAGGACTGGAAGAAAAGGAGTGAATGGATACGAATTTCCTACAAGATACGCTGCTGCAGCACTTGAAGTAAGCGCTTGAAGGCGACAGGGGGTTTCTTGAAGGGGATGTTGCCGGATGTCAGGGGGCCGGATGTGGGAAGCAATGAAGTTCTTGTGAGGAAGTCACCACACTCGCCAGCTAGGGTCTCATGAAATAATTCATCTCCTTCCGCATAATCAATGATTCACTAAGCTTAGACTGCAACTGCAGGTGCTTCAGTCAAGGACTTACATTACAGTATCGGCTTCCCTAAATATGGAGAATGGAATCTGGTTGTCAATCAGATATATATTTATTTTCAGACACTTACATTGAACCTGCAATATAAAGCGTGGTTATTTTTAAAAAACCAAAAATATGATATCGAGAAATATACACCTATCATCATCATCCTGCCGACTATAACTTCTTTTGCCAAGTAATCTTGCTCGCGTTTCCTTGCATTCCAAAGCAAATATTGAGTTAACCTCGAAAATTACAAAATACAGTTCTTTGAACAATAAAGTATTCATGATACACTCGGAAGTGCGAACAAGTTGGAATTTATTTGAAGCAATTCTTTATTTTCTTAATGTAATGAAAATACGCGTTTATGGTTTTTCCTGGATGGTACTAATTGGAAACAAATGCCCAAACAGTTTTTCCTTGCCAAGTGAAACTTCCTTGTTTGAATTTTTTTCCTTAATCCGTGTCAGAGTTCTCCTGGAAATAACGTAGGATATACCTCCATAGCTTGAATACTTTCTGGCTACCACGAATGTAATTTCTATAGAGTTATTTTGGTTATTATCCTGGGAACTCATGAAGGAGAGGATCAATGGAAATTAGTGATACTTTTTTCAAGAGACAGCGAGCGATTGATTGGGGAAAATGTATCATTTCCTCCAATTTCAACATCCTGTCATCAGTTCAAGGTCCAGAATACAATGAATTTTCCTTTCTTGTGTAATTTTTATTTTTCCGGCAAACCAAAAAAAAAATGCTGAGCAAACTCCTGAAGTCAAATTTTTTAAGGTCCCTGTGAGTGTAAGTTGAAGGAGTTTAACACCTTTCGTATTTGGGAAACACGCCTGTTGAAGAATATCGGTTCAATGATTTTTTAAATGGTTTAAAGTCTCTTTTTTATATGTAGCAGTCTCTGGGACATTCACCCACATTTACCCCGTATCAACTTGAGTAAGTAAGACGCACACCCCAATTTTTAGTGCCTCTAAAGCCGCAATATCTAAAATATAGGAACACCCAAATTTAAATGTAGACATAAATTGAACATGAATTTGACTGATTTAAAATTATTTCAATTAAAGTAATTCGTTTCTATTAAAACTGTTCCAAAATGTCACATCAGAATCAAGTATAATGTAAGCCTAAATTTCATAAACTTTTGAAAAATGTATCCCCACCTATGAAACCCGCACCCTTTTATTTCCCTCTCAAGTTTGAGAAAAAATAAAGTTGCGCGTGGTGACTCCAGTAAATACGGGATTATCGATTGATAATGGGTTTTGGCTTTGAAAAAACGAACGTTCGAGTCAGCACGCAGCTGCACTTTTTCTTGGTGATACAAAGAATTACAGTTCTGTGTGAAGTCCCCTTTTTCCTCTGTTCTGGAAAGTGTGCGAGATACACTCACACACACACACAGCGTGGAGAAGGCCGGGAATTGCGAGGTCCAGTTGTACATGTATAGTGTTGTGTACAGTGTAGTGAATGCGAGCCCTTGGAACTGTCGGCGACGGCCGCAGCAATCGAGATGCCCCTGGGGAGTGTTTCCAGGACGTGGCCAGAATGTCGTCCTCTGACAATGAACGACTTCAAGACCGGTTTTTCAAATCAGAAATACCAAGCCAAGCCTGTTCATATATATATATATACGACGTATATATGTAGGGGTTTATTTAAGAGGGGGGCAAAAATCTCTTAAAATCGTCCTCCAGTGAACAAACATCATCGCAGTAATAAATGATCTCACTATGCGCTGTGTCAAGATTATTTTTTTGAATTGATCCACCAGCAATGTAACGCATTATTCAAAAATCTCCACAAAATTTATACCTGCATACTAATTTTTTTTTTTACTTCTGCAAACGTTATAACCCAGGACGGATTAAAATGAATTACATGCTCTGCCAATTTTCCCTGCGCATCACAAATGCTCTGAGTTGAAGCTCTTGAAATTATTTCTGAAAATGCCTGTCGAATCGGCAATAAATTGAAATCAATGCGCAGGACGTGAGCTACACGTTTCTGAAAATTCTGAGCTGAGAATTGGCCATAGAAATAAAGATCCTTTATTCTGGAAGAAGACAGTCAATGAATTCTTCTCGTCTGATTATACTTTGAAATGAATAGCACATCTTTAAGTTTTTTTTAATGTTGTTCGAGCTCTTAATTATTTCGAAGTCGTAAATTATTTCTTTTCGTTTCTTTACTTCAAACTGTGCGTACTGCTATCATTCATTGAATATTTTCCATTGATTCGGTAATGTTTATAAAGTATCTGAATGATCCGCTCGTTTTCAAAGATGAAGCTGATGAAGTAAATCAAGTCCTGACGTGACACTCGAGGTCGAAAAAATTCATTTTCATATTCGACAGTGGATTGATTTGGCATTTTGAGAGAAAGACTTCTAGAGTCTATGGTGCTGTGAAGTTATTCAACATTGCGAATACGATCTACGAGATAAAATGAATGGATGTTGCTTGCCGAAACGCCGGAAATAAGTCCCCGAGGCTGTTTTGCCGTCTTTGTCACGTTCCTCCGAATTCAGTCCTAGAAAGTTTATTTATTTTTCTCTCACTGGAAGTTGATGTAGAATTCAGAAGGAATAAGACGGAAAAATGAGTGCGTCAGACATTGCTTTGATGAATGGCCGGAAACTTCGCACTAGAATTTAGTTGCTAAGATATTTCAACTCAGAACTCGGATGGGTGACTATATATGCATTGAAACTCCTTTTTGAAAATTGTCTCAAAGATTATAACTTTTTATATTTAGGTGTATTTTTGCGCAATTTCCAATTTTTCAATTCGAAACGATTTTTTTTTCATTCCTCCGAAAAATGCTTGTTCACTGCAGTTGCATGTGTCTGTAAACTCCCGTGATTATAATGTTGAGAATATAAATTTAAACTTTATTTATATATTTGGTTATTCGAACTGCAGTTCATGTAATACTCTATAGAGCTCCTAAGTAAGTCCCCTAGGCTAAGTTTAACTTAGTGAAACTACCAGGTTAAAGTTATGATAAACTCTATTAAGGGGCTTCTTAGTGAAAACTCGTTTAGTTGTTTCTTTAATCACCGACTTCCATAGTTTCAGGCTTGATTGAGAGAATTTCAAAATTTGAAATTTTGGAAATCAAGAATTATTCTCAAAGTGAGCTTCCGAATTCATTTGTATTCAGATTCAAGAAACAAATTCCTGCTCGATGCCACGAGCATTAATGTAAACACAAGGTTAACATGAGCATGGAGGAAATAATTTTCTCAATAAAAAATAATTTCAAACAAATTAGTATTCCAGAAGGTGAGCGTTGTAAACTGGTTTAAGCTTCGTACGAAAGACGAAACCCGTCGTTTTAGCAAATGATTTAAATATTTTCTGCCTGTTATTGTTGTGCAGCTAACATGCAAATTAGACATGGTCCCGAAACCTCGCCACTAATACTGTGCATCCATTTTTTTTNTTATTTATATATTTGGTTATTCGAACTGCAGTAGTACATTATGAGATATCTCGAGGATTCATTCAGGGGATCCGATTCAAATTGAATCACTTTGATGGTCCAATTTCAATACTATTTGAGATAATTCCCCGAAGAATCACTTTTGAGCAAATCAACAAATTTAATCACCGACTTCCATATTTTCAGGCTTGATTGAGAGAATTCCAAGAGTTGAAATTTTGGAATTTAAGAGGAATTCAAGAATTTTCTCTCGAAGTGAGCATCCGAAATTTTTTTGTACTCAAATTCAAGAAACAAATTCTTGCTCGATGACACGCGACAACACAAGGTTAACATGAGCAAGGAGGAAATAATTTTCTCAATTGAAAATAATTTCAAGCAGAGTAAAATTCCAGAAGGTGTGCGTTGTAAACTGGTTTAAGCTTCGCATGAAAGACGAAACCCGTCGTTTTAGCAAATGATTTAAATATTTTCTGCCTGTTATTGTTGTGCAGCTAACATGCAAATTAGACATGGTCCCGAAACCTCGCCACTAATACTGTGCATCCATTTTTTTTTCCGTGTGCCTCCTTTGTAGATTAGAGTCATTTTAAAAATACACTGCTGAGCGCTTTTCAGATGTTGCTCAGCACGACTTAGAAAAATGTGGTGCTTCAAAGAGACGCGTTCTAAAGTTTTGGTGATTCGGTTGCATGGGCTTCGACACTTGTACTGTGAGAAGAATTTAAAAAAAAAAAAAAACGAAGAAGAAAAAACCCCCATCGACCGTAAGCCAAGGTGTTGCCGGGTTGCAACCGGGGGGGGCTGAAAAGAAAATCGAACCCACCACATCTGGCAACAAAGGGATAGGGGTTGCGTTGCCGGCCCTCTGAAAAAAAGCTTCGGGCCTCATATACGTATACTGTATATTCTCTACATGTATACTGTATATATATTTATATATAAAGGGAGGCAAAAAGGACATCGGATAGGTAAAATAGTGGGAAATCGATACTTGCGGAGGCATTAGATGCGATCCTCCGGTCTCCTGCAATATCACACGCCCGTCGCTTCGTGTGTTCACGGGGCTCGACAGAAAATTCCCTCTCATACTCGGCTCATTCAGGCTAATAAATGCCGGAATTGTGAGCACCTAGTTCGAATGGGGGTCGTAGTGGATTACAGCAGTACAGCACAGTACTAGGATTTGCATAAACAGATTGCGGGTCTGGCGCGAGAAAGACCGGCTTTCGAAAACGATGTTCCTCTGACCCTGCTTATCCTGGGGTTTATATAGGAAAAAAACTACAGTTTATTTCTGCGTTTATATGTGACCCAACACTTTAAGTTATTATTTAAAAATATATATATATATAAAGAAAAATTTAATAAACTTGGCGGCATTTTTATTTTATTTTATTTTTTATTAAAGTTACGATAACGAATATTTTTTGCGTGTAGCTGCTGCTTGTTATGCAATATCTCGGAAAAATCGAAACACTGGAAAATAAATAAAAAAAATTATCGAAAGATTCATCATGATGAAATAATTCCTTCAAAATCATTCGATTTCGCGTAATATTTACATTATAAGCCTTTCGTAAGTTCATTGCGATATTAAGCAGTTCTTTAGGCAGCTTACTTTCTTTACGAGGTCGTCTGTGTCAATGCTCATACTAGTACGCTTTTAAGTTAGTAATTTTTTTATAGAGATTGAATCTGACCTCCGCTGAATATATTTAATCAGGACATGAAAGTCGACTTATCTTGGCAAACATGCTCAATAAGTTCAGCGAAATTCGAGATAAAAGCCATCTTCAGCTCAGTTACAGACTTTCTGATTCGAAAATATGCTTTTTTTTATACGAATTTTTCCAAATTGTAGTTTGAGTTTTCGTCCTTCTCTTCTTTGATTCCCATACGGATGTTCGGCATTTTTATATTAATGTCGGCTGATGAGTGCTCCAAGATTCTCGAGTTCAACCAGAATAAAAGATCACATGGAATACCATTCGAACATCTTCGCAATTTGCCAAATTACCTGCCTCGCGAATATTTTACAAATTTCTCGTGTCGGTGCAAAGGTCAGAATGGAACAAAGGAGATCCTTTTCTGTACGAGGGCGGGCTTCTCACTTTCCGAACAGAAAGATAAAGCTTTTTCCTGTGTTTTGCCTCGCTTTGATCTTCTATTCACGTGGGATATTCTAGCATTGCTTTCATGTATTCACCTTCATTTCAGTTCCTCTCCGAGAAATTAGGAAGCACATTCCTTTTTTTCTTTCGTGGAATATCCATTGATGTTTCATTTGGGTTGGAGTCTCAAACGATAGTCAATAATTGCTGATTTTCCTCTGTCTTTCAGGAATTCGCTTTTTTCCGTGTACTTCACACGATCTACACAGTAAATTAATGTACTCTAACGTATTTCAGATTTCAGACATGATACACTTCGCTTCGTAAATTTTGGAGAGCAAGAATTTGAGCAGTCGAAAGCGATGTTTTTTTTTTAGGAATTGTATAAGCAAGATATACAATGAAGTGAAGTACAGAAGTTCTGACATGATGCACTATGTTTCGTAATTTTTGAAAGGGCTGCCTTTTTGGCACTCGAAAGCGTTTATTTCTTCGAAATTTAAGAATGACCCTCTCCGGGGTTTTCTCGTCTGTGCCTGTGCGTAACCCTCAATTTTCCTCTACTGTCTGTCAGATGCACACCGGGCATGGCTTTCAAACCAACCTCATCTTCCCACACCCCTTTTCGCAGTTTGGCCTTTTCTAAGGCTATTTTCAATCGATGCCGGCATATTTCAGCCAGGCGTGAACATAAATTCTTGGTATGATTTACAGGAGGAATTTTAATCAGGTTTCTACGTAGTGGAATGGATAGTTTTTAATACGGTATTTTGGGTTAGTGTGTCAAGTTGCAGCAAAGAGGTTCAAGCTATTTGAAATAATTTAGGCGTACATCTTGTCGGGGTCTGTTGAGTAAAGAATGCGCTGAGAAAACCCCATCTGTGACGGTTTTTTCTTCTCTCCCAACTTTCAAGATTATTTCGATTAAAAATCAGTCTACGCAAAGTCTTAATGGCGAGCTATTATCACTCTCTTTTCATTTCTTCTTTATATCTACGTAGTTTATAACTGGGTTTGGATTTTAGCACAAATTGGTTTAACTCATTGGTGTAGTGTTCCTTGAAAATTATGTCATTTTTTGCCGTCGAATAATTATTTGAAAAAGCTAGAAAAATATATGGAAGGTGTCGAATATACAGTCTTGAATTTATTTTCTTATGGCGACAAACTGGCGAATTAGCACGTATTTGACTTGTTTCACTGCACGTTCACATCATTCATTATTTTTTGGGGTTCTGCTAATGCCCAACTAAGGCCAAGCTTAAATATTTGCACATCACTTGAAAATGCACTCTCTTCTCCATCAACTGGTTATGGAATTCTAATTTTTTATTTCTCTATTATTTCCATCACGGAAACCCAAGGGTTAAACTAATTAAAGCCGAAATGTCTTCTGAAATTTGAGTAAATACCTGACATTTTGAAAAGTGAAATGAAAAATAGTGAGGAAAATATCACGATACATTACCCGCAAGTATGGAATTGGCCATGGTTTAGTTCAGGCTTACGTAACATGCAGAAAATGCATCTGAAAGTAAATATTATTGAACTTTCCAGACCCCATATTGCGTATCCGGTTGTATTGGAAATTCCGAGGAGGTTTCGGTGAAGAAATTTCAAAGAAGAACTTTTTTATGCTATCTTTCGAAACCTTTTTGCAGCGGAAGTTATATTTTCCTCAAGAGGCTTCTGAAGGTGAAGAGGAAAATAACTGTGGGCGCAAAATATTATTCGTGCTGTTTTTGCAAATTTTACGGGAGCTCAAAATCAGATTCATGTTTCAATTCCGACAATTTCATGAAAAGTGGTTCACAAAAGGGTTGAGCCTATATTATTTTATAATTTATTTTTTCAATTTTATAGTTTTATCACACTCGAATCCTTTTGACAGATTAGTTCTCGATTCCTGCTTTGTCCTGTAAACGATTACTTTTTTATACCTGAAAACAATCACCTCTTTCGGCTGTCTTCATGCAAACTACCATATGTCTAGACTCTCCACAGAAGCAACTCGTAGACAAGTATCGATTTGTATCGAAAAACGTGCAGATATTCCATGGGAAAAAATTTTTGGCGAGAAGAGAAACCACAGGCTCACCGACAGAGTAAATATTTGCGCTCTTTCCCCCTTTTTCCCCTGAATATTGAAAGCCAGAAAATTGCGTCGCACCCCCCTTTGGCAGCTGAAAAACGAAAGTTCTCTCGTGAGATTGATTGTGGGGCCAGGGTTTGAATGGTTTTCCCATGTCCCACCCAGAAGGCAAAACATATATCAGACAGGGAAGAGAAACCTTGTGTATATTCTTTTCATGAAGCAGGATATCATCCGCCCGAGGAACAACCATCCATATAGAGAGTAAGAAAAATAAAAAATAAACCACATAGTATGTATTATGGACAGAGGAAACATAAAGAAGTGGTGGATATTGAGCATATGCTGTGCCAAGGGACGAGAATAAACATTCGACACCCGATTGAAACAATATTCGGCGCATTATTATCTGCTGGCTCTGACGACCGTTTCGTCGTTTTGGATGGCGACAGCTGGACGGGGAAAAAAATGCCCAAGAAAACATTTTCAAAACATCGCCGATATCCTGACCATGGCAATAAGATGATGAATTTACATATTATTCAAATTATGATTGACGTTAATTGTGTTGTGTGAAGCCGCGGATAAATGTAAACTACTCTACTATGAATTGGTCCCCGACCAGCAACGGTTTCATTTACTGCTACTGATATTGATATTCAACATGATGAAAATTTCTTTATGATCTTGACATATACTGTATTAATATGATTTATGAAGGACNATAAATTTAAAGTACTCTACTATGAATTGGTCCCCGACCAGCAACGGTTTCATTTACTGCTACTGATATTGATATTCAACATGATGAAAATTTCTTTATGATCTTAACATATACTGTATTAATATGATTTATGCAGGACATTTTTCATCAATCAACTGATCATGATAACATTTGTAGAGTGAAGAGCTTATAATTTCAACTCTTGTCACGCTGAAAGGAAAAGCTGGTGCGAAAATGTTTCCCCCGAATTCATTCAGTTATTGGAATTCAAAATGTGAAACACGTGGAATTCATTTAACCTTGTTTTGAATGCCAACATTAAAAAAAATGTGTACTGTATTCGAACCAGGCGAATGTCTGGCAAGTTTTTTTTTTTTTCATTCAGTTATTGGAATTCAAAATGTGAAACACGTGGAATTCATTTAACCTTGTTTTGAATGCCAACATTAAAAAAAATGTGTACTGTATTCGAACCAGGCGAATGTCTGGCAAGTTTTTTTTTTTTTTTAAAGTTCTGATGAATAAACAATTTCGGATTTAACGTAGCAGAAGTCTGCAAGGGCTGCAAAAAATTTCCCCGACTGCTGACGAATGAATGTTAATCCAGTCGTTAAAGGAAGACTTTTTTAATCTTGATTGTTTCACGTATTACGTTTGCAACTACAAGAGGAAAAAAATTCTACTTGCATTAAATGTTTATTTGTAATAATATTTTCTCCTATTTCTGTCTCCTCAGTATTCTTACACGTACCTTCACTGCTGATATTATCAGATATTCCACTTGCAGTACCTTGTAAATTTAACACGAAAAAGAAAAAAAAACCATTATTCAGACCAATCATTGAATGTCTTTTTTTCAGATGAAAACAAAATGCCGATGTACAATGACCATGTAAAAAATTATGGCTAGTTCATGTCTCGGCGTTTCCTCGCAATTCCAGATGATTTCTTCACTTTTCCAGCATCATTTGAAGAAAATCTTCAATTGGCAGATCATGACTTTGTGCTAGTTGTGTATCATATTCTGTGTATTTAAATGTGTATTTGGAGTCAACATTTCTTTTCAGTCATGACTGATGGCAATTGAAGTGGAGTTTCTTGACTACGATCGAAACATTGGCTTTTTGTTAACTATCATTGTTTGATATTCATCGAATTCTCCTTCATTCAGTTATTGGAATTCAAAATGTGAAACACGTGGAATTCATTTAACCTTGTTTTGAATGCCAACATTAAAAAAAATGTGTACTGTATTCGAACCAGGCGAATGTCTGGCAAGTTTTTTTTTTTAAACGTTCTGATGAATAAACAATTTCGGATTTAACGTAGCAGAAGTCTGCAAGGGCTACAAAAAATTTCCCCAACTGCTGAAGAATGAATGATAATGCAGTCGTTAAAGGAAGACTTTTTTAATCTTGAAGTATCACGTATTACGTTTGCAACTACAAGAGGAAAAAAATTCTACTTGCATTAAATGTTTATTTGTAATAATGTTTTCTCCTATTTCTGTCTCCTCATTATTCTTCCACGTACCTTCACTGATATTCACATATTCCACTAAAAGTACACTGAAAATTTCACACGAAAATGAAAAAAAACATCGCTCAGACCAATCATTAAATGTATTTTCTTCAGATGAAAACAAAATGCCGAAGTTTATATGTACAATGACCATGTGAAAAAATTATGGCTAGTTCATGTCTCGGCGTTTCCTCGCAATTCCAGATGATTTTTCTTCACTTTTCCAGCATCATTTGAAGAAAATCTTCAATTGGCAGATCATGACTTTGTGCTAGTTGTGTATCATATTCTGTGTATTTGAATGTGTATTTGGAGTCAACATTTCTTTTCAGTCATGACTGATGGCAATTGAAGTGGAGTTTCTTGACTACGATCGAAACATTGGCTTTTTGTCAACTATCATCGTTTGATATTCATCGAATTCTCCTAATGTGTATTTGGAGTCAACATTTCTTTTCAGTCATGACTGATGGCAATTGAAGTGGAGTTTCTTGACTACGATCGAAACATTGGCTTTTTGTCAACTATCATCGTTTGATATTCATCGAATTCTGCCTCTTGATCTTCCCTTTTAATGAAGCAAGATTCTGCTAAACAACCTTTGAATTATGGAAGCGCGCTGTTTTATTAAAAATCACAAAAGTAAACGTGAGACAACTATAATAATGGCTTCTATTCCCCTTTTTTTCACAACAGCCGGGCGATAGAAAACAATGACGACATTAATCCGAACACCCCGTGGACCAACTTGTTGAGCAACGACTTTTGGGGGACGCCGTTGACGCACTCGGGGTCACACAAGTCCTACCGACCCCTTTGCGTCGCAACGTTTCGCCTCAACTTTTTCCTTCATGGCCTGAACCCCGTTGGGTACCATCTGGTGAATGTGGCCCTGCATGGCCTGGCCACAGCCCTGTTTGCATCCACGTGTCGCAGTTTGTTGTTCAGGGACTCTGTCGCAGTTTGGACAGCGGCTCTCACGTTTGCCGCACATCCTGTGCATGTGGAAGCTGTGGCTGGTAAGTGTTGTGCTATACTTTTTATTTTATTTATTTTTATTTATTTACGCCTTGAACAAAGGGGCAAATTAGCACAGTTACAGTGAGATACCCCGGAATACTGACACGACAACCTAAGGGCCAATATTTGACCTGCTGGAGACACTTGAAACTTTAAAAAAATCTGACCTGACATCCAGACAATCTATTTTTTTTTTCAGATGTATAATGAGAACTTTACCAACAATTCTGGGATATTTTAAATTTTAAATTTCCTAAATATTCACATTTTTTCAAGAAATTGAGCTGTTTTCATGCACATATACGAAAAACAAGGTTCATTATAAAATTACCTGAATAATTAATAATCAAAAAAGTCTAGTTTTGTGCTTTTTTTTAGCATTTTTGATCATGTGTGTTCATTATAGCAAAACCTGTTCTGGGTCTTTGCTTCTTAAGCTCATTTCTTATGCCAAAAGACCAGATTATGCGTGGCTTTCTTTTGAATATTTATTTTCTGTAACTTGAAGTTGAAAAAAATATTTTACTTTTTGGAGACTTTTTCCCGATTTTTGATGTTCATGAGAACCAATGAACAATATTCCCGTTGAAGTCCATGGGAAAAGAAGATCCGACATGCAGACGTTCCGACATTGGGACAAGGTTCAAGTACCAATTACGTCCGCATCTTGGGATCCTACTGTATTAGGGTTACAGTCCTGAATTATTAAGAACAGCTATGATTAACCATCCTACGACAGATCTTCGAGCTTTCTAGCAAAATTTGCTCACCGAACACTTCAGAATAGAAGTAATAAGATATTTAACATGTGAATATACTGTGATATATAACTTAAGTTCAAATACTGCATATTCAATTAATTTTCTATGTGTGCGAAAAAGTTGCTATAGGGACTAGGAAAAAAATCTCAAGGCTTTATGTTTTTCTTTCTTCAGCAACAGGACTATCTTGGGATGTCAGTTGGACATAGCCAATTTTTCTTAGGTGGTTTATATGCGAAATTTTCTGTACTTTTTCGAAGTAATGCGCAAGGTCTTGGGAAGAATGTCATTTAGGAGGTTTTCTATTTTGGGAGGCTCGAGTTATTATCCAAGTCCAATGTAACTCTTCCCTCTTCATTTGTACTGAATTCTTCGTTTCTTCTCGGATTTTTCAGGATTGGTGGGAAGAGCAGACGTCTTGGCCTGCATCACCTTCCTGCTGTCATTCTCGGCATATCGCCGCCACGTGACGGCCCGGACGAAGGCCGCCTTCGAAAGCGGCGCCAGCAATCACAGCAGCAGCCGCCACGCAGCAGCTGCGACGCGACAACTGGCGGCCTGCGTCGCCCTTGCCGGCGTGTCCATGTTGTGCAAAGAGCACGGGATCACAGTGCTTGCCGTTTGTGCTGGCTACGACGTGTTCGTCGTGGCACGCATGACCTGGAAGGACATCTGGTCACTCGGGGACACGAAGGGCAAGTTCAAGGTGGGTCACGAACACCCATGCCTGGATCTCCGATGGTAGTATTGATCAGCGATGTAAATCAAGAACTGCGTTGTGTCTATATGCAAATGTGTGCATGGATTCTGTCTGAGAACCGTGTGTCACGGTTAATTCTTAAAAAAATATATGATCTCAATCGCTAAAATGGTCACCCGTCAATCGGCGAAAGTCACGTGGGAAATATCTATCTATCATGGAGATTCAGGAATTTCTAGGAAAACTCTGCAACAATCTTCATTCGGGCATAAAGTTTTTTTTTTTATAAAAAACTCAAAAATCAAAACGCCCGACTTTGATGGGTGCTTGATTTTCTCTGGGATGAAAAAAAAAAATTGGAAAAGCTGAAAAGTTGGGAGTGAATGTAAAATATTTCGTAAATCAACAGCACGGATATAATTTGAATTATTCTTTGCAGATCGAAATCGGGTTGCAGCATTCCCAAGAGTTATTTATATTGCATTAACAAAGTAATAAAGCCGATCAATCGAACTTTGAAAAGAAAAACGCTTTTTTAAGGAATGTTACCAGATTTCAAACATCCAGAACGAAGCTTTGAATACGGTACAGTATTTATCTTATTTGAACCTTATTACTCGGCAGTTTTGCGAGCGATGAGGTCATTTAAAGTGAATAAGGTCAATTAGAATGCCGAAACTGTATTGGTGAATGGATTGGAGAGTTATCCATTCCAACAGTTCAACAGCTTGAGAAAATTAACCGACAGGATTCATTTGTAAGATTTTTTTTTGAAAATCGTGAAATGCATAAAGATGAAGTTTCGTAGTGCAGTAATGCTTTCAATCAAACGGAAATAAAGTTTTGCGGCGAAAAAGGAACAAATAAGTTCTTGGTTTTCCAATTCTCTGCCAAGGAGAGAAAACTGAAATTTAATTCACAATTTCCAGACAAGGAACTCTTCTTGATCTACTAAAAAAAATGAAGAAAGAACATGGTGAAGGAAGCACAAATATTGAAAACTCTTGGGAAAGATGCAAACCGACTACAATCTACGAAGATTACCTCGAGTTACATTTGCGCCGTTGAGTTTTGTTTTTGTTCAGAATTGCGTTTATTCTCGAATTCTCTGCTTTTATGATTTTTTTTTCAATACCAGAGGAAACAGCAAACTTCATAAAGACGGATACCGTTTCGATTAAAATTTTGCCGGAATTTCTACTACGACTGTTTAAAAGTTTTCCTTGACATTCCTGAATCTCTTATTGCTCTTAATTTTTCCATGCGCCTCATTAATGGTGGAGACCATGGAAAATAAAGAATGAAAATGTCAACAGCGCAGAAATACAGTACAGTCCTTTTTTATAAGATTCAAAATTCCTCATCCCTTTCAATAATGTTCCAATATTGCAAAAAAAAAAGCCGTCCAGCCGACATGGGCTTTCCTCGTCTGTGCTCTTAGTCATAGACACTAGCGTCACTCGCGGCAACGAAACTAGCGACGCGCAAACGACCGGTGGCCCCGCCGCCGCGGCCTCAACGCGTCGGCGGACAATCCGGCGGCGCAAAGTGAGGCCCTGCTCACGCGGACTTCAACATTCGCTTTCCTGCCTGTGCTCAATTTCCTTTTGTTGCTGTGGCCTCGATGGCTCAGCTTTGACTGGTCCATGGACACCGTGCCACTGGTGGAGTCCTTGACTGACTCTCGGGTCGCCGCCACGGCCTGTTTTTATGGCCTACTTGTTGCCTTGGTGAGTATCGTTCGTTTTCTCTTTCAAGGGTGATGTCGGGAATGCAATGACAAAATGTGGGCTCAAGCCATGGTCAGGAATGACAACATTAATAAAAAGACTGTGCGCATTGTTCGGTTTGGTTGGAGTCAGTGAAATAAAATATGCAATACAGGTGGTACCTGGCAATTCGTGCTCCCGCAATTTAAACCCTCATCCTGCATTCACAGAATTTTACGTGGCTAAAAAGTTCGATTAAATTTAATCATTTTTAATCATTTAATGCAATCAAATCCAATCAAACGAATTTTTGTCATGGTTTCTCACTCACACAAATCCCAGATTTTTTTTATAGCTGGCCAATCGTTTATTGAAGGGTAGAGTTTCCGTCAGACGAAAGATGTCTTGCTATTTAATGATGCTTACGTTCGTTGCAACAACAGTGTAATGATATTTTCAAAGTTATTTTTACGATGTGACTAATAATGAAAGAAAACTCTTGCTTACTCATAAGTCACTGCTTCAAATAATGCATGAACAAATATTGTATTGTGAATATATTTCTGTTTCAAGGTCCATAAAGCGTATTCCTCGAAAGACCGGGGACTGACGACGGCCCTCCTGTTGCTCATAGTTCCGTTCATACCTGCATCGAACCTTCTTTTCCACGTTGGGTTCGTTGTGGCCGAGCGGGTGTTGTACCTGCCTAGCACGGGGTTCTGCTTGCTGGTTGGGCTCGGCGCCGGACTGGTTGCGCGGCGCCGGCGCCACTTGGCCCGAGTCCTCGTGGCGGTGGTGCTCTGCGCGTTCGCTGCTCGCACTCTGGTGCGCAACAGGGACTGGGTCGACGAACACGCCCTCTACACCTCTGGAATCCCCGTCAATCCAGCAAAATGTCAGTTTTTTAAAATTCATTTTTATATCAACTCATCAATGAGCCTCAAAATTGGCACGCATCAGAAATGTGGATCTCAAATAAACATATGTCTGAAGGGGTTCAAGTTAACCCTTTGATGGCGGCAGCCTTCTTTCCATCCGAGGGCAAAGTCTGACTTTTCCCCATGGGCCTGCATTATATTTTCGCACAAGGTTATGCAACCCCTGCTAGGTGGGGGAGTATTTTATCCAGGGATAAAGAAATGCTGGGAAAGTCCTGAGTCAGAATTTTTCTGTATTGACCTCTGAACTGGGCTCCTGGCTTTCAAGCTTAAATTTAATCTTTGAATGGGGAAACAACACAAGGCCAGGGGAAAAAAGGGAGCCTTGAAATTTCATTTTTTTTGCATTTTCAGGTGAAATTTTTCTGTGGAAAATTTAAAAAATGCCAGGATTTTTCCCGACTTTGCCCTGCACACACTGTTTTTTTTTTTTTTTCACTGAGTGCAACCAAAATCTATGTAAAAGTCCGACTTTGCTGCAGAAGGGTTAAATTATAAATGAACAGAGAGCTTTATTTTCTGCCTTTCAGTGTTCACAAGGTTCAATCAACATTCCAACATCCAAACCTTTTCCCCACCCAAGCCAAATCCGTTCAAATGCATTTAATCACTTCAGAATGGGAAACAGAGAAAATCGCTGCAAATTGAAAACACAAATAAAAGAAAATACATTCCACAAAATATAACTGCACAACTTATGTGTATGTGTATGCCATTTCTTTCCTTGACATTGAAAACAAAATATCAGTATCAGGAATTGCAGCATAAGCCAGAATTAAAGCAATTGCAGCAGTTACTGAACCCAATTTAAAGCACAAGGTCTTCAGCCTGTTCCCAGATAAGGTTTAGTTGAATGAACAATTGGGAGAGAAGCTTTGATGAGAAATCATATAAGGCCAACAGTTTATCTTGAACCTGTATGATTCCAGAAAGGGTCTCTTCATTGAATTCCAATACTTGTAAATTGTTCTTAAGCTCATTTCTATCAGTATGGAATGCTGGGCTTAAGAAGAGCAGGTGCTCTGGCAATGCACCAACCAGCATATTTATGCTGTAGGTTAAATTAAGTTATGTTGATGAGGTGGGGTTGTTACGTCTGTATTTACTGGAACCATGTAAGGTACATTTTTTACTCAGGTAAATTGACTGAAAAAAGGGGTCTGATTTTCAATGACAAATGAATCTGACTTGGGTGTAGTCCATGCTTGCGTTTGAATCTGAAATTTGAGTAAGCATACCGGTACATAGAATTACCTGAATTTCGAAAGCAAAATACTTGTAATGTATGTTTTTCTGGAAAATGTTTGAGGCGATAGAGCTGTAAATTGAATATGGCTTAGAATGAACGGACTTCTCGTATAAGGGGTCCTAAATAAATTATACTGTATTTAACTGGAATACTTACAACATTTGAATTGATAATTTCGTTCCAATTTGGAATCGCAATTAAAACGTGTTTCGTATGTGGTAATTGGCGATATAATAAATTTGAGTGATTATCAGAACTCTTTTTTCATATAAGCTAGCTAAATAGTTTCGATTCTTGTTATGGTCATTACTATTCATTGATACTTTTTTATTAATTTTCTTGCTTGCTTCATTTTTTGAGTTACGGTACATCTACGAAAATGGAAATTGAGACTATTGGATGAATTAAACCGATGGGCGTTTATGGTTTCAGAAAACCATCTTTGGCTGCATGAAATGGATGATTTTTTGTCAATATAGCATGTTTAGAAAGAAATCGTGCGAGGATTAAAATAAATAAATTGCAGTATGATCAGAATCAAGAATCGTGGGCAAATACAGTGCCGCAATTTGAAAATATGTATTAGTAGTTTTTTCTCTGAATATAAACGAGTTCACAGATGATTTCGGTATGGTGATCCCAGGCATCAACGCGGAAAGGATCTTAATTTTTTCAGTCAATCATTTTCGTTTCTCGTCCAAGTTAAAAAGAAAACATGGTTCCCATTCATGAAGTTATACATTCATTCGTCTGGAAAAAATGTGAACTCGCTTGTTTGTCGGGAGACGAGAGCCACAGCAGAAAGCAACTGTTCATAAAAACAAATTGATTTCAGCACTTTGCTTCTAAGAGCACTACTTCGAATTCAATGCATGGTTCTTGTGGATTCATGTGCATTTCGAAACACTTTGCTGCAGCTTACGGGAACCTCGGACGAGTTTTGAGTGCAGAAGGTCGAGAGAAGGAAGCAGAAGCTGCTTACATGAGTGCCATCAGGTTGCGACCAAACATGGCCGATGCTCATTACAACTTGTGAGTATAGAATCATTCATTTACAGTGAGACCCCCACATGCGGACAATGTTACGTAGGGACACTTATTTTCCCTTAAAAAAATTAATAAAAAAGGCCCGACATGAGGACACTGACTCAACATAGGGACTTTTTTATCAAATTTCAAATAAGTTTTAGGCCAAATTACAAAAAAACAGATATTTCTAACTCTAAAATTGATGTAAGAAAAGTTCTTGAGCATTTCTCTCACCAATTTACCATCCATTTAGCTAATTTAGAAAAATTACCTCCAGCATAGAGGGACTTCCTTCTCTCTTTTTCGCTTGGATGCTTTTTTTTTTTTTACAGAGAATGCCAACATTTTTATGTACTGTACAGAGGTATCAGTATTAAATTCCCCAAATGACCATATTGTGTTGAAATATATTTATTGAATTAGTTAAAATTGGGAGAAAATGGAATTATGGTGAGTATTTTGTGCATGAAACACCAATTGAAAATTATATAATGTAAGTCTAAAGGAAAATGAGACTCAACTTGGGGACATTTTTACTTCAGGACTCTCTTGATGTACCAATTATGTCCGCATCTACGGGTCTCATTGTATTTTTAGTAAAATAATATTCATCTCTATAAAAGAATTACAGCTATCTTATGATTTTTGAAATTTATTATTGGCTTCTCTAGATCCCAAAATACAATATTTTTTCACCTGCTTTTCTCATATCCTGTCTTTTCTTTATTTTGTTGCCAAGAAAATAAATGCAAGCCAAAGACAGGAATGGCACAGTGCAGTCCGTCATCATGGAAGAGAGTTTATGGCTTTAGCTTCAACAATTATTGAGGATGCAATATTTGAGAAGTAAACTAGGATTGCTCAATCGTACACGACCATGACCTCAGTCAACTTATATTGCATTCTGGCGTATACTCAATTTTCCGAGGTAAATTAGGTCGCGAGGGATTATTTATTACCATGGACCTTTTTCTTCTTCTTTGATGCAACGGCAGATTCATTCGGGTTTTATAGAGCGATCAGTCGCTTTACAGCCGTCAGTGTCATGTAAAGATAGGAGTATTTCCGTCAAAAATATGTATTAATGTTCTTTCCTCTGAGATTTAGTGCTGTTGGATATTGAATTTTTCTTTTGCTGTATAGAAGAAGATCAAAATTATCCCCGTCTGTTTGGATGAACATTCCCGCAATGAATGATTGGAACACAGTCGTTTATATGCCTTATAAAGATGGAGTATTGGAGAATGATTTCTTTGTTGGTTCTGAAATCACTTGAGATAAACGAGAGAATCATTGAAACCTGATAAACAACACGCACTTTAAATCAGTTCAAGAGCCGACTAGTTGTAATTAATTTCTAGATATTTTTGCCTGATTTACTAAATTTTTAAATCTCGGAAATCCCGAATTGGCTAAAAAATCTCATTTTCTCTGCGAAATACCGGAAACTCATGGTTGTCTCGATGACATCAAGATTTTTTTCGTGTTTTTTTTAGAAGATTTCTTGCCTTAGTTTGACACAAATTTTACATGAATAAATTTGCTGAGATTCTCGTCCACTTTAATGATAACGTTCATTGATCATCGTCTCGAAAATCCATTGGTTCGGAAGTTCGGATTGAGTCAGGAATGTCTTAATTTTTTTAATCTTCTGAACTTCATTTGACATCAAGATTTGTTTCTGTCCTTTCCTTGTCCAAATATTCACGGTTTTGCTGATCTTGAAGTGCGTGTACCTTGAATAATCTTCGATTTTTGTTGAATATTTTTGTTTGATTTTTATTTTATTTCTTGCTTTACGGAATACGACCGAATCGTTGACGATGAGAAGAGGAGTGTTGCTTCAAAACCAAGGCAGAAATGAGGAAGCGATGCGTTGCTACAAAACAGCGATCAGGTGCAGACCGAAACTCGCTTCGGCATACTTGAACCTGGGTCAATTGTACGCCAATTCCGGCGACGCCGATTCGGCGGCCGACGTTTGGAAAAAGTGCGCCGAATTGGACAGCAACGGGCTGCGGGATCCGAAGGCCCACGAAGTCGCCGCCACGGCCGCCGTTTTTCATCTGGGGCGCCTCTACGCGGACACTGGACGCTACTTCGAGGCTATCGAAAGCTACCAAAATGCCATTCGTCGGCGGCCTGTCAATTATCAACCTCAGGTCAGAAGACGTTTTGTTTCTTTCGCGTTATTTTCGGAAAAATTCGAAGGGGTACATAATTTTAAAGATGAGGTTCAGTATTTTCTCATGTGCATATCAGCTGCTGCGTTGGGAGACGTTTCGCAAAAAAAAAAAAAAAATCGAACGTATCTCCGGAAAACAATTTTTCAGTGTTAAGTAACGCAATATTTCCACAACCGTTTCTTTGCAGAAGTTTATATAACGACCGAAATTGATTCAGTCTTGCTGAAGGTTTACTAATTTTTTAGTCAAAATGCATAAAAACAAGACAATGATACCGATTTTCGGCGGAATCAAGCTTCTTTACCCGCTTCAACACGCATGTGAACAAAAATTCCGAACTCTTCTAGGGATTTTTATATGGATTTAAAACATCACTAATACATTTCGGACGATTACTATTTTCGTTTTTCGGTTTTGCATTTCTACGAAGGACAAGCGAAGATGATTCGACTCTACGAAAAGCATAAAAAGAATATTTATAGGGAGTGTCGCAACTTCGAAGTAGGATTTGTCTTTTATTAAATGAAACCAAAACTAGGAGAATGAAAACTCCTTTCGCATACGAAATTTTCCAATCCTCTTGCTTTTTAAACACTCAATAAACCTCTAAACATGAATGATTATTTTTTTCTTGGAACGGTCGGAACAGAGCAATGCGATGTTGTTAACAGGCTTCAATGTAAACAGTGATCCAAGAAATCGAAAGTTTTTATTGCTTCAGGGGATTTACAATATGCTGGGAGAGGCACACGCAAAATTAGGCCATTACGAAGAAGCCGAACGCTGGTACAAAGCAGCTCTGGAAGCAAAACCCGATCACGTCCCGGCACATTTGAAATACGGCCGAATGTTGGCTAAAAACGTGAGTTACTCTCGCCATTTTTTGTTTTGTTTTTGCTATTTTTCCTTTCTCCTGCGCTTGCCAAACACGTCGCATAAAGAAACACATCTATCCATCCATCCCATTCGTACGTCGGACTTGATCCAGATTCCTTTTATTTTCTCTCATCTTTTTTTTGCTTCCTTTTTTTTTGTGTGGCATATTCGCAGCGATCCCGACTAATGGAAGCCGAGCTCCAGTTTCTGAAAGCGAAAGAACTCGCCCCAGAGGACACTTCCGTTTATTTCCATTTCGGTGAGTAACTTTTATTTTATTTTTTGTGTGTGTGTGTGTGTCTTTTTCTTTTCGGTATGACGACGTGGCTTGAGATGTCGTGATTTGAGAAGAGCACGTTTTTTTTCATAATGTGCCCATATTATTTACATGTGCTACGCCGAAGTATCAAAAGGGGATTCTATTTCCGATTTTTAGATTTCCGAAATTAGGACGAGAGGTTTTCACGAAATGCGTTTCCTTTATTCGGTTTCTGCTATTGCCGTTTTACTGTATTAGCACTAAATTGGAAATTTTGTTTTCACGAATTTTTTTTCTCGCTTGTGTCTTTCAATTTTCTTCGATCACTCGATCCCGTCGCGAAATCATTTCGTCGCGCTACAAAATTTTGTTAGTTCTCTTTCGGAATTTATAATTTTGATTTAAATGCTAGCGGTGGAAATGTCCAATTTTGTGAACTTTCGATGTGATGTTAATTCACACGATGTATGTTTACGATATAAATTTTTCATCTTTCGAAGATGGGCTTCGAAGGGCGGATTTTCTCTGGGATGCCTTTATTATGCTCGTGTCTTTAATTGTTTGATTTGATTTTTTTCCAGAATAATGTGAATCGGAATGAAATTAAGCAATAGGGAATTGAAATTCATGGGGGCATCATGTCAGTTGAATATGATATGCGTAATTATTTCAGGGGTAATCAAAAGATTTTGGATTTGAATATTACTGGAAATTTCACTTTTCATATGCTACAGTTGGTGCTTATTTTTTTTTACGATTAATCTTTGATTAGAATGAGCTTTGGTCATCAAGTACTGTATGTACTGTACATGAATCAAATTAGCATTTCAATGACATTTTGGCACATGTGTACAGCAAATATTTATTAGGAGATTTGCTTTCTGTTACTGAGTTCTTCTAAAGCGAAATACTCCTCAGTTAAAAGTACTGTATCACGTTGTATATTTTGTTTGGTCCACAAACTGAAAGAACAGATCCTCTTGTAGCAAAGGCAGATACAGTACAAAAATGAGCATCCATAGTTTTGTTCAACCAAGTCTCTCTGTGGAGTTTGAGCAAAAGTCAACATCAATCATTGGGACTGAACCATCTTAAGGTCAGATGACCTAAAAGAAACTGCAGAAATGCAGAAATTTAAAATTACGCATTGTCTACTAAAACATACCGGGTCTATAGGCTGTTCAATACCATAACATTAGATTTATGATGAATGCGTTTTTTACAGGGCATGTGGTTAATCAACAGCACGCTTTAGAGCAGGCCACTGAAAGAAAATTATACCAAAAACCATTTGTTATCAGGGTTTCAATGAATAATTTCATGGATTTTGAGCACTTCAAAATTGAAAGTGCGGAATTATTTTCCGAATCTTGCGAGTAATAATTCGTGAGGTGATCAAAACAATTTTTGTCTCTGGGCTGATGCCAGGAATATCTTTCTTTCTTTCTCTCTCTTTCTCCATATATACGCAGTACAGCCACTATACTCTGATCAGATCCCTCGACTGTGGAAAGGCAAATGTCTCGGTTTCTTTTCGTTTTTTTCTTTGCACCCAGGGAAAAGAATATTTTCCTGCAATGGGCTTATTGCTTGCCAGATGTTCCAGGGACCATGAATGGCCCCACCCGGCAGCAGCCGGTCGTCAAGGCCTTTCATTGAAACCCCCCGAACATTTCCATTTCTGGGGATATGGGTTTCCCTTGTTAGCTGGACGTGAGATATAAAAAAAAGGGATAAAAGAAAAAGCGTGGGAATAATAAAAGAAAAAGAGGAGTGAGAAGGCATTTAGGATGGTTTGAAGAAGAAGAAGAAGAAGAAGAAGAGAAAAAATTCTATGGGAAGGAAGAGGAATTTTGGCAGTTTGTATAGTCTGTTTCCTAGGGCTCTACTTCTCGTCGCTGCGGCCTTTATGGCCGATTTGTTCCAGCTCATTTTCTTGGGGTAATGCCTTTCCTCGTCCCCCCCATGCCACGATTATGCTGCTGCTGTTTGCTGAGTTGTCCTCGCGATTCAGGCGCGTCATGCACTGACGTTTCCTCTCTGACATCTTCATATGCAGTACACATGTCTATACAGTATACAGTTGAATTTTTTTGCTGGTCCCTTGAAATTCCACTTGGAGAGGTTTGGACTTGGGGAGGTTTTGAATCATATAGAGGTTTGCAATGCAGAAATAAGAAAATATGCCATGAGAAGCATCCAAGAATAGGAAAAAAAATCATAAGTGATGATATTTCAGGCCTTCTTATATGAGTTGATAGGATGCTAAACTTGTAGGCAAGGATTCATTTGCTCAATTACTCATTAACTTCCTTCCAAAGCAAATCAAATTCCATTATTATTGTTTTTATCTTTCCCCTGTCAAGAAAACAGTAATCAAAAGGCCTCAAGAAATTCAAATTATGGAGGTTCAAGAGGAAAAGACTTTGAGTTAAGGAGATTTTTAGAGAATTGTTTGTAAGGGAATTCTGAGGGGAACTTTAAAAATTTGTATTAGTGAGGCATTTTACTTAGGGGGGTTTGACTTATGCAGGTTCAACTGCAGATGATCTGTCAATATAAAAAAAAAAAAAGATTTGTACAAGGGCAAAATCCCATTTTCAAGCATTGAAGCCATGAGTCCAGCATTTCAATGCTCGTATATTTCCAAAGTTTCTCATCCACAAAACCAAGCAAAAGAGAGTTACAAGTGTTTCTTTTTGAAGGTATCGCAAAAGCGAGTCACATTTTTTTACTGTCAGGGACTCTAAAGTCCAGTGACAAAGAAATTTAAAAAATTCCTTCATAAATAACAGGTAATCACAATAAGCTGTTTGCAGCTGAGACAAAGTATTTTCACAGGTTTCACCACCTTCTTGGTAATCAATTTTCACTTTCAGAATCATGAGATCCAAAAAATTGATCATGAATTGAGATTATTCATCTGTTTTGGGAGGCTGAGAGTTCACATCAGGATGAAAATTAGAGAAATTCGCTGTACATGGATATTTAAAAAAAGAAAATGCATCCCAGAATGTAAAATTGCACTAATTATGCAAATGCATACACATTCTTCCCCCCCCCCAAATAACAAAAAGAAAATAGCTGTAATGACAATTGCAGCATAAGGCAATTACTGAACCCACATTAAAGCACATGGCATTCAGCCTGCTCCCAGATAAGTTTCAATTGATTAAACAATTTATTGGAGACCATCTTTGATGATACATTATATAAAGTTAACTGTTTATCTTGATCCTCTATGATTTTGGAAGGATTCTTTGTACTTTCCTGTTAGCTCAGTACCCATTTTTCTTTGTCTTGTGAATTAAGTATTTGTTAGGTTAGGTTAGGTCAGGTTATGTTAATTGACCTAACCTAACTTTACCTAACCTCCTCCCAAAATCAGTTTCAGCAGAATGCAGAAAAATGAAATTCACAGTTTCTGGTAGGTGCACGGAAAGTAGGTACTGAGATAACAGGAAAGTACTGGAGTTTTTTAATTAAATTTCAAGAGTTCCAAATCTATTTCAAGCTCATTTCTGTAGCGCTGTGAAATGCTGTGCATAAGAATACAATATATTACTGTAGTTACCATTCCTCTCTTCCTTTCTTTTTTTTTTAAAGGAAGTTTGCTCATGTGAATATGTCTGACATCCAACAAGATGCTCATGCTCCGGATCAATGTCATGGGCAAATTTAACAAGAGCCTGCTGGACTGAATGAATACTTCCTGCCATTACCGCATGTCTTGCACAGTGTATGGCCGGGTTATCTTTGCGTTCCTTCATTCCCTTTTTTGTCACGCGCGTCAGATGTTAAAGAAGCTGGAAGTAAAAAAATAAAATAAACCGATGGATGTGTGGGGTTGTTTGGGTTTCCTGTGCCTTCATCAATCTTGGAGTATATTCCGAGAGTCTTATATATGGGAACGCCGCTCCAATTTCTCCGTGGGAGGCACAAGTCTCTGATCCAGTGGAGGTTTATTGTTTTACAAATAGTAAAATAAGTCTTGAAAGGTGTAATTCGATTATCACGATGCCGGCATTTCAAAAGCATGGAAACGACAGAAACCTCAGCCTGAGGATTGAAAAAGAATGTTCAGTGGGGCCTCGGAATGCGGAAGTAATTGGTGCTTGGTCCTTATTATCGTCCTTGGGTAAGAACGTCCATATATCAGGTCACGTTTTTCGATAGATTTCAATGGAAACATAGCATTGATTCTCTTGTTTATTGAAAATTACAGAGAAGTCCCCCAAGAAATTGGATAACAATTTCATTCAATCAGATAAAAATAGAGATCATTACTGTGCAGACAAAATCCACACGGAATATTCTCTTTTGGTGTATAGATTTTATCCCTGAAAACCTTTTTTAGAATAGAAAAGTTGAAGGGAAGAGGAAAGTACTTACTCTGACTTCGGTTTCCTTTTTACAAAAGTATTATGTTGTAAAAGTTTATCAAATCCCTACTTTTTGTTCCCCAAAAATTTGGGGGACATTTTACTGACTTTTCTTGGGAAGAGTGCTGTGATGGCTTTATTGCCTCCAGCAGATGGTTTTGGGCCATTTGTCTTTCAGCATGCCAATTTGTATTGGCGCATGCCTTTTGAAATATATTCCCCTGCCAGGAAACGGCACAATCCACCACGCGCAAAACCGGACAATAAAGTTGTTGCTGGTAATATTTTACATTTGGCATGAAAAAAGCTCAAAAAGAAAAGAATAAACACAAGTCTTGCTTTACTGTGCGCAAATGGTTGAAAAACTCTAAAAATATACCCTGCTTATGATTATGAATTTGAGTAAATGTTTAAAAGAATGCGTAAAAATAAAAAAATACAAGTGTAAAATAAAACTTGACATGAATCGTCGTCAGTGAGTGCAATATTTGAGTGTCCTATATTTGAGTGTGCAATATTTGAGTTGCATGGTAAGTCATGCAAACTATTTAGTTTCATTTTTGGTTCTATACAGAGCAAATCACAATACGGAGTTTGTATGAGTATTGTAAGCTCGTCTTTTTGAAAGTCTTTGAAAATGCTTGACATTCCCATCATATTTCCATTTTTGAAACTTTAGTGATTATTCAACCGTGCCAAAAATATATACAGTACATGTTTCCATTAATTTAATTAAAAATCAAACTGCTGAGAAACATCTTTGTGTTGCGTCGAGGAAATGTCGCTCCTGTGAAGAGTAAATCTGATTGAGCTCAAAATTCGGCAGAAACCCCCTTTTTTTCTTTCGTACCGGTGTATGAAAAATTTGAAATTCAAGCAACTACTTTTCTGGAAGCCAAAACACGAACGTAGTTTTTCTTCGGTGAAGCAACCAAGTTGGTAGACCAAACCTTCAAAAGTCAAAACAATATTTTAAAATGTGGCAATGTTTGTAATCATTCAAAATATTCATGCTGCAGGCTGTGGTCGTCATTAGAATTCCAAATTTGAACTGTGAAAACATCACCTGTGTATCGCGTAAAAAGATATCGCTCTTGCCGTGCAAAATAATGACTCGTTTTCAAAATTTGGCATACATTTGACGTCAAAACCTTTTCTTTCGCTTTCGAGCCAACGTATTGCAGTGTTGAGATTCGAGCAGGATATTTTCGGCGGTAACCAGGCCACAAATTTGTACCTTCTCTTTTAACTTTTTTGGTCCACCGACCAAGTTGTCGGCCACTCGGTGGCACACACACCCTCTGGTGCAAACAAATATTCCATCTGCAGTTCAGAAGTCGCGTGACATGAAGGGATCTCGCTTACATGTGCTGGAGAAACTGCGATGGGGATCTTTCAGGGATATGGGAAGACGACGCGAGGGAGGCGGGGTTCGGGTCGTTTATGTAGGACCGGGTTTATTACCTAATGGCAGGTTGCGGGATGAGAGACGCCTCAAGCAACTCCAGCCACCGGTTTCTGGCATTCAACAGTAGTCCGATTTGTTCCAGCTCATTTTCTTGGGGTAATGCCTTTCCTCGTCCCCCCCATGCCACGATTATGCTGCTGCTGTTTGCTGAGTTGTCCTCGCGATTCAGGCGCGTCATGCACTGACGTTTCCTCTATGACATCTTCATTTACACATTTCTATATACAGTTGAATTTTTTTGCTGGTCCCTTGAAATTCCACTTGGAGTGGTTTGGACTTGGGGAGGTTTTGAATCATAAAGAGGTTTGCAATGCAGAAACAAGAAAATATGCCATGAGAAGCATCGAAGAATAGAAAAAAAATCATAAGTGGTGATATTTTAGGCCTTCTTATATGAGTTATTGATAGGATGCTAAACTTGTGGGCAAGGATTCATTTGCTCAATTACTCATTAACTTCCTTCCAAAGCAAATCAAATTCCATTTTTATTGCTTTTATCTTTCCTGTATCAAGAAAATAATAATCAAAAGTCCTCAGAAAATTCAACTTGTGGAGGTTCAAGAGGGAGGACTTTGAGTTAAGGAGATTTTTAGAGAATTGTTTGTCAGGGAATTCTGAGGGGAACTTAAAAAATTGGTTTTAGTGAGGCATTTTACTTAGGGGGTTTGACTTATGCAGGTTCAACTGCAGATGATCTGTCAAAATATAAAAAAATTCGATTTGAACAGGGGCAAAATCCCATTTTCAAGCATTGAAGCCATGATTCCAGAATTTCAATGCTTGTATATTTCCAGAGTTTCTCCACAAAACCAAGTAGAAGAGAGTTCAAATTGTTTATTTTTGAAGGTATCGCAAAAGTGAGTCACATTTTTAAATGTCAGGGACTCGGAAGTCCAGTGACGAAGATATTTAAAGAATCCCTTCAGAAATAAAAGATAATCACAAGAAGCTGTTTGCGGCTGAGACAAAGTCTCCGGGAACAAAAGTATTTTCACAGGTTTTACCACCTTTTTGGTAATCAATTTTCACTTTCAGAATCATGAGATCCAAAAATTGACCATGAAGTGAAATTATTCATCTTTTTTGGGAGGCTGTGAGTTCACATCAGGATGGAAAATAGAGGAATGCGCTTTACTTGGATATTAAAAAAAAAAACATACCAAAATGTAAAATTGCACTACTTATGCAAATGCATACACATTCTTCCCCTCCCAAATAACAAAAAGAAAATAGCTGTAATGACAATTGCAGCATAAGGCAATTACTGAACCCACATTAAAGCACATGGCATTCAGCCTGCTCCCAGATAAGTTTCAATTGATTAAACAATTTATTGTAGACCATCTTTGATGATAAATTATTTTAAGTTAAATGCTTATCTTGGTCTTCTATGATTTTTGAAGGAGTCTTTTAATTAAATTTCAAGAGTTCCAAATCTATTTCAAGCTCATTTCTGTAGCTCTGGAATGCTGTGCATAAGAATACAATATAGTACTGTAGTTACAATTCCTTTCTTCTTTTCTTTTTTTTTTTAAGGAAGTTCGTTCATCTGCGTATGTCTGACACCCAACAAGATGCTCATGCTCCGGATCAATGCCATACCGTTTAAATTGTTCTCGGACGACCTGACTTACTTATGAAGGACGGTAATGGCGTACAGAACGTGTCACATACCGGCCCAATAGAAACGCAAGGAAGTAAGGGAAAAAACAGTGCGCGCAGTCTACATGTTGTTGTTGCCAACACGTGGCGTCGACGGCGGTGGCATCAGAAAACTTATCTGTGATGCTACTTCGTGCCGTGGCGGCATTAGGGTCGTCCGCCCCAGGCAAGAAAAATGGAGATGAACCCGACGTCCTGCTTTCTGCTGGCTACTATCGTCAGGTTTCTTCGACCTTCATTTTTTTATTTTATTTGGCTACCTACACACCCCAACAAACCCAAAGGACACGGAAGTAGTTAGAACCTCATATAAGGCTCTCAGAATATATACCCTTGCGGCGAGGTTAAAGCCCGTGGGAGGCACAAGTCTCTGATCCAGTGGAGGTTTATTGTTTTGAAAATAGTAAAATAAGTCTTGAAAGGTGTAATTCGATTATCACGATGCCGGCATTTCAAAAGCATGGAAACGACAGAAACCTCAGCCTGAGGATTGAAAAAGAATGTTCAGTGGGGCCTCGGAGTGCGGAAGTAATTGGTGCTTGGTCCTTATTATCGTCCTTGGGTAAGAACGTCCGTATATCAGGTCACGTTTTCCCATAGACTTCAATGGAAACACATCATTGGTTCTCTTTTTTATTGAAAATTACAGATAAGTCCCCCAAGAAATTGGATAACAATTTCATTGAATCAGATGAAGGTAGAGATCATTATTGTGCAGACAAAATCCACACAGAATCTTCTCTTTTGCTGTACGGTACAAATTTTATCCCTTGAAACTCTTTTTAGAATATAAAAGTTGAGGAGAAGAGAAAAGTACTTATTCTGACTGGTTTCTTTTTTACTAAAGTATCTTCTGATGGCTTTATTGCCTCCAGCAGATGGTTTTGGGCCATTTGTCTTTCAGCATGCCAATTTGTATTGGTGCATGCATTTTGAAATATGTGCCATTTTCCTTTCAGGAAATGGCACACCTCGGCCGGCCGACCTATATTGTATATATAGCTTGACCTCGGCCGGCCAAAGCTATATATACAGGTGCATTTTATGTTGCATTAAGTTTACTGCACCAGACCTTGTCCAAACGCCAAGTCCACGCCGCTTTGCTCTCTGTAGAATTGTTGTATTGACTGTGTGTGAAGATAGAATGAAATATTACTTGAAATACTCTCATGGAGTAACTTTTGCATTTCCTTTGAAAGTCACGGAAAACAATTTAAATCTCCAATCCCCATTTTCCTTTAATTATTAAGAAGTAGCTCTCAATGACTGATCATCTTTGATCACTCACTTCTGTAAAATAGTTTTTGGATAACAAAACATTTTTGTGCTGTGTCAAGGAAATGTTCTTGGGAAGAATAAATGTCATTGTGTTGAAAATTTGGCAGAAAACTCAATTTTTGCTTTTGTAATATACCAATGCATTGAAATTCAAGCAAACCACTTTTCTGCTGGCAGCAAGAACGCAAACGTATATTTCTTTGGTGTAACAACCAAGTTGGTGGACCAAACCTTCTAAAATCAACGCAATATTTTAAAATGAAGCGAAATCTTAATCATTCCAAATATTTATGCAGCATGCTGTGCTGGTCATCATTCGAATTCCAAATTTAAACTGTGAAAACATCACCTCTGTATCGCGTCAAAAAATATCGCTGTTGTCGTGTAGAATATATAAACCTGACTCCTTTTCAAAATTCGGTATGAATTTGATGTCAAAACCTTTTCTTTCGCTTTTGTGCCAACGTATTGCTGTATTGAGATTCAAGCAGGAAATGTTCGGGTAACGGGGCCACAAATTTGTACCTTCTATTTTATTTATTTATTTTTTATTTTTGTCCTCCCACCAAGTTTTCGGCCACTCTCTGGCACACACACCCTCTGGTGCAAACAAATATTCCATCTGCAGTTCAGAAGTCGCGTGACATGAAGGGATCTCGCTTACATCTGCTGTAGAAACTGCGATGGGGATCTCCCAGGGATATGGGAATTTCTGCTGCGCTCCCTCCGCCCCAAGCCCAGCAAATACATCCTGGCCCAAATAATGGATTACCGTCCAACGCCCTACTCTCTGCGGAGTTCGTTGAGGTCGGTGGCCAAAGACCGTAAGTTGTCATCTTCCGTGATATTTTGTGGTGCCCGGGATTTACTTCATGTACGTCTCGTGGTTGAAGTATGTGAAGCACCAGTCTTTTTTTTTTATTCCCGCGATGCACGTACATAGTGCGGGAATACTTTTCATTTTTCGAGACCAACATTTCTGAAGTTATTTATTTCATGATGTGAGTTTTAGTTCTCTTGCTTAGTTTCATATGGTTTTCAGTATTTTACCGAGAAATGAAGAGCTCGTTCATGATTACATTGATGGTGTTCTACTGCTGTGCGGTGAAAAATTTTCATTGAATTTTCGAGAGCTTATAAAAGTATTGCAGCGAAAAGTGATGAGCTCGTTCGGGATTACAGTACTTTCATTCAAGTGAGAGGTGAACAATTTTTGCCGTAATTTCGATAGTTTATAAAACTGCATCCTTTCGAACAATTTTTGAGGATTTAATTGTCTGTATACATAGACGCATTTTTTATCACCTACCGGAATTAATTTGTTGTAGTGAATGACGGAAAGGCGAAAGCCATAATTGATTCATGCATGCTTAATTCACCGTTACTCTTGAAATTTTCTTTTTCGGATTTCTTGGACAAATGGCATCGAAAAATGATGTCGACAGCTCTTCGTCGAAGCCCAAAAACATTCGGGTTTGAAGAAGCGGTGTTTTGAAGTTTCATCTCACCGTGCCAGTTGAAAATTTAACTTTTAAAGGGCTTTAACCAAAGCACTAATCCTTATCCTCGACTCTTTCTACTATAATAGGGACTCTTTATAAAGTCCTTACGCGCCCTTTTACACTTTTATATCTGAATCTTTCAAGCATTGGTGATTTTTTTCATACCTATTGAAAATATCAGAAACTCATTGTATCGATACCGTATAGTTATGTGAATTTTTCTTCCAGATACACGGCAATATTTCCAAATTATGACTCAAAGCCGCGCGATATTTTTGAACCAAAATTTTATTTCAAATCATTTCATTGGGTTGAGAACAAAAATAGCTGCATCTTTTGCGTTGCATTCCGCGAAGCTTGTCAGCATTTATATTTTCCAAACTCGCATATCAAATGCTTAGAGAAATTCTCAAATTTTATGGAATCAGAGAAATGTAAACACTCTTCTGTGTTGAAGTCGTCTGCGTTTATAACCCTATTTATATATATATGACGCATATCCCAGTGAATGTTCTAAGGGTCAAGTGAGGTCGTCGTATAGGTGAGTTATTCTTGTCCAAGTCGCTTTGAAAGGGATCAAACGCCCACGTGGGGTCAAAGAAGATTCTGCGGTGGACTTACGTTGGGCTAGAGAAAATGTACCTGTGTTTTAAAACAAAAAATGAATTTCACATATCAGTTGCAGAAATATATTCATTCATCTACATTTAGAAACAAGGCTTTTGAAGTCACTGTTTGTTCCAAAAGCTTGTGCATCAGTGTGATAACAATCTGACATGAAGGTTTTCCAGTTTCTTATCACCAAAGAAAATTTAGGTTTATAAAAGGAATAATATCTCAAGATCTGTTGATCGAGTCAATTTTTATATGATACGAGAAAAGTTGAAGAACATCCTTGGCTTCAATTTAAAATGGTGTGAAATTCTCCAAGTGTGAAATTTGCGGAGTTATTTGCTTTGGAAGTTTGTGCGTTGGGAATTGCGCCATAGGCAAAGCATCTTTTCTTTGCTGGTTTTATTTTTCTTTCTGAAAGCAAGTTGTTACTGCACAATGCGAGATTGTATTTGCTGATTGTGTGTGTGATTTTTGTTGTCATGAAACCTGTGATCAGAGACAATAATAAAAGTCCTCTTTTAACAAGGTTCTTCACTCCTACGAGGTCGAAGAGAATGAAAGACGTCGGTATTACATCAAAACAGGAAAATTTTAATTTAAAGGAACCTCCGACCCATTGACGGAGTCGTGAGTCTACAGAGAACGTAGAACAATTTTTTTAATGCAGCTTAAAATCTGCAACACATATCCAAGTCGTGCTTATAAGCAAATTGTTCCGAGCCTCAGGAAGCAGTGTCTTAATTGGACAAGCAGTGACCAAATTCTGCATCCATCACGTTTTCATGAAAATTATCTCAATCGCAGAAATGTGATCTTCTCGAACAAAATAACACTTGTGCATATCCCAGGCGTGAAAAGCAAATTGTTCCTAACCTGACAGCTGCTGCTCTATCTTGATAAAATTCCGCATTTAGCACGTTTTCTTGAAACTTTCTTCAATCGTCGAAAAACGATGATGTCATACAAAATTAAACTTTCGCATTTCCGACTCGTGAGAAAAAAATAAAAACAAATCGTTCCCAGCCTGGAAGCTATGTCAAATATTTTTCATTCACCCCGTTTTCATCAAATTGTTTCTCGTCAAAAAAAAAAACACTTGTCATGTCCCAGTCATGTAAAGCAAATCGTTCCACGCCTATTCATACACAACAGGAAAGCAGAGTCGTGATCAAATTTCGCATTCACCGCGTTGTCATCATGGGGGTCTCGTAAAAGCTCACTTTACCATCTTCATATGGTCTTTGGCGACGGAAAAGAGGCAGCTATTTTCCTTATTTGGGGGAGAGAGAGAAAACAAAAAAAGAAGAAGAAGAAACAGAGACACCGAACGGACACGACATGAACACGTGCTCCTTGTTCCCGTAACGATAAGTACGTCCGCAGAACCGGGCCCTACGCTCAACATCTTTGGGGGATTGATGGGAGGCGCTCTTGAGGGAGCAGCCCGAGTTCAAGGCACAGGAAATTTGCATTTTGATTACGACCTAAGGGAGAAGAAGAACCCCTGGAAATAAGCAGCAGGAGGGGTGGGTGGAAAAAGGAGGGAAGTGCTTTTCTTATTCCTTTTCCTGATGCAGCATTTTTTTTTTTTTTTTGCCTTCTTCTTCTTCTTCATACACGAGCAAACGGTGGGATATTTTTCATCTTTTTTTATTTGCTCCATTTCCGGGCCGCCGTTTTCATCCAACGACGCTTCGCGGTTTGCTTTCTGGAATCCAATGGGACTCTTCCGGTTTAGAATCATTTTTTTTGTTTTGTTTTGCTTTATTCGTTCATTTACATCATCACCTTGGATTTTATTTTCTGAATGGCTCATGCGATGAGTAAGATTTTTATTTATATGATTATGACCTGAAAATGTATACAAGCGAGAACATTTTATTTTTTGCGCGAGTCTCATTTTATCGCGCATCTCGTGGAAAAAAATTTGAAGAGCAGCAATCATTCACTGAATATTATTCTCTCTCTTTTTTTTATGCGTCCCATTTCTATATTTTTCCCCTCCGATTTTTGTATATATCTTTTTTTTTTATCGCGCATCTCGTGGAAAAAAATTTGAAGAGCAGCAATCATTCACTGAATATTATTCTCTCTCTTTTTTTTATGCGTCCCATTTCTATATTTTTCCCCTCCGATTTTTGTATATATCTTTTTTTGATCGCACGTTGAAGCATTTCAAATTTTAAATGTTGGAAAATAAGTCTTTCGTTTTTAAACTTGAAACTAATTTGCTGGAAGTGTGAAAATCAGATGACGTCTGATCAAATGAACATATTCAAGCAGCGTTGGCAGATTTTTGCTCTCGATGTCTAGATTTTGAATTTTTTGCGATCTGTCTGAATCATGTAAACGCTGTCCGGATTCTGCTCTAAATGATGTGTGCAAAACGAAAAAAAAATCATTTACAGTGGAATCTTGTTGAAAGAAAGCGGTTGGGACCTTTAAAAAGTTTCGCTGCAAAGAAAAAGTCTTATTTGGAACGCAATTACAAAAAGATTATGGACTTGAGATTTAATCCGTTATAAAGAGATTCGTTGTAACGATATTAAACCTTCTCAATTGCAGCGAGGATTGCAAAAAATCGGGCGAACATCGTGTCAATTTTTTCCAATTCTGTGATAAAGAGCAGCTTGATGAAAAATTGGTAGATGAGTTTTTTAAAAAACACAGAGAAGGAAAAACAAATATACAGTATATATTTCCGAAATTTCCCAAATGCGTTGAAATCTCAGATTTTCACCCCGCATTCCTTCGGCAATGTCTCTGGGAATTTTATTTCAGCCAATTCTGTTTATTATGCAGCGGAAGAAAACTTCCTGCGTAATCTGCTCAAAAAAAAAAAAGAAGCAAAAATCCTTGGCACTGAACCGGAAACGTTTATGTTTCCACATGTCGGGATGCTACTTGCAAAGAAAACATCAACATGACGGCGGATTCACGGATGAAGCCCGAGCTAACTTCCCCGGATATTATTCTCAAGCTACGACACATGAATAAAGTGCCGCCATATGTATATTTTTTTTCTTCTTCGTATTTTTGCAGGCCAATTCCTCCTGGAATCTTCACGATACGACGAAGCAGCGGCGGAGTATGAAACTGCTGCGGAGTTGGCGCCCGATGACGTGGACGCCGTTTTGAATGCAGCCAATGCTCTTCGACAAGCCGGAATCAATTCGAAAGCAGAAAAGTTTTATCGACGAGCTGTTCTTCTTCAACCAAATGTGAGTCTCAGCAAGAAGAAAAAAATGACATTTCAAATCAAACCAATGAAGGGCCATGGATTTTTTTTTTGAAAGCAATCAAATGACTTGCGAATAAACGACGGGTTTTCAACCGGAATAAGTCGCAAGGTTCTTCTATTCTTCAGTTTTGCTTCCTGAATAGGCGGAAATCTTTGCGAGCTTTGCATGAAAAAGAAAGAAATTGTCAATTGAACAAATCAGGAAAAACGTAGAACCAAAATAAATGGAAATGTCATCACCAAAATACTGGAAAGACCCGTTCAGTTGAGATCGAGTTGCATAAAGTTAATGTTCTGAAGAAATTTTAACAATTTATAAAATAATAACGTCCTTCATTCGAATTGAAGTCACGTGAAAACCCCAAGAAAGAGACCTCATGAATGCATTGTCACGTCTGGAAATCGACATTACCCTGATGAAAGGCACGGAAAATGTGCTATAAAATCTAAATTAACGAGATCGAACTCAAATCTGACACTTGAAAGGTACTGAATATATTGAAACTCTGTCGGTTCAAACAGAGATCCTTTACCAATATTGATGTTTCTCAATGATGAGGCAAGATTAGGCATTCTATGCATAATTTAGATTTTTTCTTCAAGGTAACATCACATTTGTGTTCAAACACATTTTAATCATGCGTTGGACCGATTTATTTTTTTTTGGATTAATATGCAGTTTTACAGAAATTGAAAACACCGAGGAATCTAATTTAGAATAAAACCCTGGGATTTGCGTGCCTTTCTTCAATTCCAGTTTTCTCATACAAGATCTAATTTTTCTCTTTGTGTAGCATCAAATTAAATTCTAACGTAAAAATGTCGTGTAGTAAAACTCTTTTTCGCTGACACGGGCTCATTTATGATTTAAGACAACAATTTCTATAGGAAAGTTATGTTTAGGGTTTCGAAAATAGTTCATGAGCAAGTTGTTTTGCGGAGCGAAAAATGTTTTTCTCACGTTAATCTAAGATTTATAATTTGAGAGCCAGTAAAAAAAAGCTCATTGTTGTTCACGTTGATCCATGCTCAAAGAATCTAAGATGCATTTTTTTTTTAATCTCGACTCTACTGTTCAAACAGTAGCTCTTTTTAAACCCGATAATTTTGATCTTGTTTTTCCCTATAATCATCAAGAAAAAATTTCCGAATAATAATCCAAGAGTTTTCCGAAA